TATAAGGTTAAAAACTGATCATGGCTTGAAACGATGCTTTACTTTACCGATATGATAGAGAACAATATTTCAACTAATCGATGTTACTATTCTTCAGATATAACAACTGTTCATATCTGAAACATGGTGACCTGAAGACTATCGGTTAACTTAAATACTGTACTCTGTAACATGGTCAAAAGTCACAATGGATTTTATCCCATTAGTAAGCGAACGACGAAAAACCTTCAAAACCATCAAAAATTGTCGAAACAGTAGGTGGTATTGCAAAGAAGTTTTCAAAGAGAACTAGACACTAGTTTTCGATTAAAGTTGACAAATATTAGTTGACTTTCTTGTAGAATATTCTTACTGAATTGTTTCCGAACTGACTTTTATTGAATTAATCAAATAGTTTAGTTCACACTCAAAGAATGGTCAACCACTGCTGAATCTGGAGAAAGATCCGCAAAGACTTTGCATCCTAAAGTGGTGAAACCCCTGTACATAAAGTCAAATCTGGAGTCATTGCCTTCCATTTCACTTTTTTAAGGACTAGGCCTCCCTTAGTTCTGGAAAGGTGATTGTTCTTAATGCGCTTTGAATATTTTATAAGGTAAGCTTGCAAGAGTGTAGTGGTGAGTTTGCAACGAGACATAGGCGAGTTCAAAAAACATACATTTAACTTTAAAAAATATCAACTGTCATCGAAAAATACTCAAGATTTCCGCGGTATTGAAGATACCACTCAAAGACTATTGCGCAACAAACAAAAGGTGATGCTTAAGATGTCTTATGGTCAAACGGTAAAAAACTGAATGAATTAAAAAACGATGGACAACAAAACACAAAGAAGATTCTTCAATTCCTAGGACTAGTTACACTAATCACTGAAGAAAACGAACGAAGCTTGAAACGGAATTGAGCAGGCAAATGACAGATTCATTAACCCGTTCGATTAGGAGTTAAACAAAGGAGCATTGTCAGACATTCTGAGTAAAACATTCTATGATGTCTGTGCTGTAACATCTGAAAAGTTTCAGCCCCTCAAACACTGTCCGTGAAGAGGGCGAGTTGGGTCTGACGATCTAAAGGATGCCAAACATGTGGCAGCACAGGTACTCAATTACCATGGGTTCCAAGCCACGACTAAAGGTCCCCTTTGCACAGCTAAAAGCAAGGGGGTGGTGCAGTACGAAGAAATCCGGTCTTGAAGGAGTTATGCGTTAGTGGTTGAACGATTGGTAAAAGATGGCTACAGTATGAACTTCCGTTCAATTATTTTTTTCAACCATGCCGCTATATCTTTATCTAATGCTCAACGTATAAAACTGAAGATAAAATCCAAATTAAGGAGGCTAAGGAACCGCTTTCCGAAAATTACTGAAATGATCCAAAGGAACTGTCGTCAACACCACGTTCATCACTGTTTACCAAGTGACTCCACTAACGACAATCACCAGGTCAACTTACTTGGACTATCGACGATTCAATTTGTTTTGGTGAGCATTTGCAGCACTCACTTCCTTGATCAAAATCTCCATTCTGATATTAATTATTAAACAAAATACAATGATTTCTTATCGCCGAAATGTTTTGATCATCGTAAGCAACTGCTTATGTTTACAAAGTAACTGCTGTGCGACGCGAACTTTTGGTCTGATACTTCAGAAGTGCTTTGCATACAAAATAAGTCACCCGTTATCCGACTTGTTCAAGCTATCGGTGCGCCATGAACAAAAATCGAAGTACCTCTAGGTTTCTCTATGTTAAACTTTCTGCTTTAATCGCAGACCAAGTATCCTCATTTCTCCTTTCACTTTTGCCATCGGATCATCGCAGCAAAATGTTGGACGATTTAGTGGACGTTTGTGGTCTAACGGTTGGTAATTTTTTGTCCACCAGTTGTGTCAAGCGAGTCACATGACCTGCTCATGTTCTCTTGGTTTCACAGAAAGCAGAAATTACGTCTGTTAGGTTAACCTAGTGTGTTGTCGAATGTGCTCGCAGTGTGATCCTGGATGGACACGTAACAGAATTTTGGCAATGTATCGCTCTTTGCATCAATGAGTTTGTTCTCCTCATCTACAGTGGCAGACCAGAAGAAAACTGCACGGATTCGATCATGGCAGGTAGGACGGCTGAATGGAACACGGTTCATTCTTCGCCTGTACCGTGTTTATTCCCACTCCTTCGGCTACCTTTCCCATCTAATGAGAAATATTAGAAGACTCCTACAGAAAGACTTAGGTAATGTTCGAAAACTACGAGGCATACATAAGTTGTTACTTGTCCGATTTCTTAGCCATTCGTTTAAAAACAGTTTTTGGACAGGGTTCGTTCCGTGTCCATTTCGTCTTGAAAAAATAGGTAATAAATATCCAGAAATGGTTCTCACTTTGAAATTATATAGTATTCTAACATGTCAGTAAAATATTATTTATCTGGTAGTCGAGAATCACACGATATTTGTAATACGACAATAAAGTTAATTTCGTCATCTCATTAAGAGCAGTTTTCATGGATAACAAATCGTGGCATAAACGCGCTAGGGACACGATTTGAATATGCAAATGTGTAATCGAATGGGTACGGAACAAATTGACTACAGCCGATACGATGAACACCGAACATCAAGACAACTTAGTATGGATGTATAAAGAAAAAACAAACCTGCAGCCTAGACAACTCAAGGGAGTGAAGCTGTTCCTCGAGCAGCAGGCGTAGGCGGCGTTCCTGGTCAAGCGCCCCACGAACGTCCATGAGTTCTTTATGTAAAACTTGAGTATCTACGATCGTCTTGTTATCAACATCGTCCTTCATCGCCGGTACGGAAACCACTGTCGGATCGAAAGTCGGCTCCGTCTGTACGGTGACCGCACACTTTTTCGGAGGAACCGCAGGAACGACTACCTCGGTGTCCGATTGAACGTGGACGTCGTCCGCGGAATCGCCTGAAACGACACAGATTCACCGATGACCGTTAACCACTACGAACCAACGTCATCACTTACAACCCTCCATTTTCGGTCGTTTCTTAGGCGGAACCTTTGAGCTTTTCATCAAGCGGTTCGGAGAGGAAGAAAGGGCGTCGAAAGAGGGCGGAGGCGGAGGTGGTGGCTGCTGCTGCTGTTTGAAGAGGTTTCCATCCATGCAATCGACCCCACGGAAGCCGTTGGTTTCTATTTCACGTTTGAATCGATTAATCTGCCGCAACAAATCCATTTTCTCCGATTCCAATATGCGAATGAACTCTGCCGTTTGTTGTAATATCGACGCCTAAACGAAACGATAGCTCGATTAGAGACTTTTTACAACCTCTGAAAAGCAAAGGCGAATTTCAAACGTGAACTGAGCCGCAAATAATCAATAACAATTTTTCGCTATCAAAAATTGAAATAATCAAAAGTTTAAAACTTTTAAACTGCAGCAAACAAATGATGAAGCCATCAAACGATGACCGGTTCGCGGGAGAAAACTGAACGATTGGTTATCGACTGGTCTGGCCAACCAATTTCTAACCAGTTAGACCGATGGCGGAAAAGTCGACCAGCAGCAAAGTCATCTAATGTCGTTAATGTCGTAGCTGGTTTGGAAAGGCGACCCGTAAGATGAAATCGGTCACTCATTTTCCATTCCAGCTATTCACTCAAGGACATCACCGCCCAACTGACATCTCAAAATGAACGCTTTCTTCTTAAGGTCAAAAAACGACGACGACGACGACGAGGACAGTTGTTCACAGAAAACAGAAAACTGCAATGACTTTTCAAATCACTCCTACCTACTACTACAACAACGTCGGACGAAACGGTTCACATACGGCGATTCATACGTGACGTTCGACGAATAGAATTCCTGTTTCACCTGACCTTCAGCTGTTCAAAAGCTTGAATTCAGAAACGATATTCTGACCAACTGACTTCTTTCGTCCTGTTTCAGATCCGAAAGCATTGTCCTTCTTCTGATTCATCTCCAGAGGAACAACTTCTTCGCTTTCGTCGATCAGCACAGGTTTTCGACTTTCGTCAGTTTCGGACTTTTACTCAGCTCGTGCACGATGAAACAAACCTCAGTCTCAATTATCATCTCAATTAATGTTTCATCGCCACCGACAGCTAAGACAGCTGAGACATGATGAATTAGTGATTCTTTCGTAAAAGAATCTGCTCAGCATACGATACCACAAAGATGTGTCGCAAATTTCCGCAGTTGATCGTTCGTCATATACTTTGTGCTGTTTTCCTATTATGTATATAGTTTATGACCTCATGTTTATTAGCTATATCTCAACTCTGGATGTAGAAAATGAGTGAAAAAATTTTAAAAAGGAGTTTTCAACTGACGGAATGTAAATGATCTGTGTACTTTCATGATAAGGCCATTTCTAGCACCCTTGTTTAAATGAAGTTAATTGTGGGATGCTAACTTCTATTTATATTCCATTAGCTAAGAGTAGCGTATTTTTTTCCGAACGTGGAGTCTATCGCTGCGTGGCAGGCACAGCGTCTACTCTCCTGTTTCCTTCTCACAGACTGGTACTTATTTATAAACCTTAAAAGATAGGAAGGAAAGCGACTGCCCTCGCCCGGTGCTCGAATGCTGAACCTCTTGGTTACTACAGCAATCTGATTTACCTTACTTGAATACCAAGAAACCGTAGTCATAGGTGGAGGACGTTTTAAACTCAATCATTGTGGTGCGGGCTGCTAAATCATACAATATCCGTTCTAGAAACCAAACGAAACTACAAAATACATTAAAAGTGATCATCAGGTGAATTTCCTACGCAAACAGAATAAGACACCGTTGATGAAAAGTGACAGCAAAAGTACAACTCAGTTTATGTCTCGATACACTGAAGCTCGAGATCTCATATCACACCTTTACTCCAACCAAATTAAAATAAACCATCGAAGGCATTTACATCCTACAGGCTTTGTCAGCTATTTGTGCGTACATACTGTCGGCATGTTTAACAGTTGCAAAACAGCCTTTCTGTGCACTGTTCGGTCACTGGAAGAAAAAGATGCAAGATTTATTGACTGAAACTGATTTCAAACGTAAAAAAGCCATATACGTATCAACGACCACGATAATATTCATCTAAGCAAAATACCTATACAAGCATGAAAAATACAGTGGCGAAGGAGCAGAAAACTCTGCACCCGTTCCATTTGGACCCTGCATGACACGCTATGCCATTCTAAGTGTTGTCTGAACTTCCGGTTAATAAATGGAATAAATAGTGAATAAATGTTGAAGGATATCCGTCACGAGCAGTGATCAGCTGTGAGATTGCGACAAATTCTGTACGGTTCAGTACGTTCGTTCAGTAGGTCAAAGGTGTCAGGCAGTATTATCAGAGACTCTATGTGACCAACAGGATCTGTGGCCCCATCAAATTCAATAACTTTCGCCTTGATGGTTTCAATAGGTTTATATCCCAAGTTGAATGCACACGCAGAGGTTGAATATCTTTTCGGAATCTACCCCTGCCCCGGGTCATAAAATATTGCGTTAAATCTTGCAACCCCACTGCTGCCGTTATATGCCCATGGGCAATTTTAGCCGCAATCTTCTTCGAAGCGCCTCCATCGATCTTCATAGCGTCTTGTACATCACATCCAGGAGCTTGAGTTACGCTCTAATTAAACCTAATCTGAAATCAACGTTGTGAAGAAGGTAAACGATCCACCTAAGGCACTGGGACAAGGAGAATCGGATGCGCTGATATATTAGCGATACCATACGCTTTAAAATGTCATTGTTATAATCCGCGAAACTCTTTGATTTGCCTCCCATTATCTGCACTGTATTCCTGCACTTATTCTGGTTATTATCTGCACCGTATTCTGCACTGTATTCATGACCCCATTAACACGATAATGAAATATTACCGACCATACTCTAAGAATGTAATGTTTAAACTGCGTTCGCGTTCTGAAGCATGTACGAAAATATTGTAACTTTCCATATAGTTCCTCAACGCTTCTCACGCATAAGAACAGTACCACCGAGATAAGAAGAACCGGCCAGAGATTTCTGAGACTGAGGGGAATTTTCAGAATGTAAGCACTATAGACTGTAGGCTTATGGTCCTTACTGCTGAAAAAATCGTGTATTTTTCTCTTAAAAAATGAAACATCGCAACAAACCGCAGAACCACTTCGGGTAACATCCGCCAGTCTGGAATATCTAGCGCATAATCGAATTTTTACTACTTTCTTTACCTCAGATGTGGCCCTAAATTTTAACTAGTACTACTAGAAAATCTTTTATCGCTGATCATTTTTTCTGCCATTATGCTTCGTACCTAATTAGAGAGCAAGCAAGTTGCCATCTTAATTACTACTTTATTGTTAATAATCATTTGTGAAAAAGTCCTTAAAAATGGTTCTTTTATGTGTCAAGTCGGAACTTCGGATTGCAGCGAAAGTTCCTACCTCGCGCCAAGAAAACCGCTTCATTGAAACTTGGCATACTGTTTATTCGAGGCGCGGAGCACCTTATATATTAACCACGGAGCAGTCATTATGTATTCCAAGGTACTGGGGAAGAAAGTTTATAAAAATTACGAAATCGATCTCCGTTACATTAAATTAGCATAAACATCAGGTATAAAGTCGAAGCTTGTGTATATGCAACTAACTTTACGCAAAAACATCAACAAACCAGCTGTATTTATGGCAGTTGTGTGGAGAGAAGAGTACAATTTCGACAACAGATCAGCTGCTTATTTGACTTCATCGGCCTGGCGCATTCACAGTGGCGGCGGCAACTGGTGCCGGTTTTCGTGCGAAAAACCGTCATCACCTCAAAACCGGAAACTGAGTTCAACGCTACTCATGCAACTGACGCGCGACTTAAGATTCTCGGCTCATCTCTCAGCCGTTCATCGATGATCAAAATTCATTCACAGTTCAACGGCGGCCAATCCGAATCCGTTGAATCCGCCGCGTTCTACACCGCATGTCTTCTTACTCAGCCCTTACTAACGTCAAACGACCGATCGTAAAACCAGCAGCTGATGACCAAACACGTGTATGCTACTTTTTCTTAGAGTATGGCATTAGTCAAACAGTCAGAAATGCCGCGTGGCCGAATTCACGACAAGGAAGTAAAGAAACAAGCTGGAAATCGTACAGATTTTGTTTTACTGATCAAGAATGGTCACTGATTTTTAACTGTACTGACCACCTACTGATCTACCGAATAACTATTGGTTAACTATGCCACTGAACTACCCCTAACCGTTTCTGCCTCACACATTTATTTAACACCGGGACCAGATAAACGTGATCACTTGAAAAAGATGGCTCGATGAAGGAATGACAGCGAGGAGAATAACTGACCAAAAAATGTCTGCGCTATTTATGAACTTGTTTTGTCGTTTGATATCTTTTTTGCTCAGTTCTTCACTGTTATGAACATCAATAATGTGTCGATAATTACGGCAAGTTAAATGAATTTTTCGCTTCCTCTTCGAATTCTGTTCCTACTGGCTGACGAGCAACACAGTAGCGTCACCAAGTCACGTTCAGAAAGCAAAAACCAAAATAACGGGAATTTTCGCTTCTAACACCAATCCAGCCAATTACCATCAATCGCTGTTACAAACAGTAACTATATGATGATTGTAAGTACATCCAAAAGACTGTATAAGCATTAAAGTACGTTCATAAGCAGGAGTTATCCAATTACGGATAACTCCTCTAAGACCAGATTTCATGGCGCAGTCCTTGCGCCTAACTGATTGAAGTTAAGAGGTTGAGGTAGGGTAATTTAAGTGCGAAATTCATGTCGCATCATTTTCTCCGCTATAACCACTATGCACTCATCACGAATGATCTTTCGAGGAGGTGGCATTTCTCCTATAATATCGCCTAAGCATCATTAGCCGCTTATACGACCGCATGAAACGGATATAAAATAACAAATGACTATGATTCCCCCAAGGCCAGATTTAACGGTGCATTGCAGCGTATTCTGGCCTCACCAGACAACTAAACACAAGCAGCGATACAGTACACTGTTAAATCTGATTATGGAGGAATTAGGAGTTTCCTATACGGTGATAAACTCTTTATGTTCCTGTCAACATATGTTGATCGAAGCATGTCCGACGCGCAAAATAAAACAACTTACTACAA